GATGTACAATCTTCAAAGCATAATTATGTTGTTTTTAATGGGTATGCTTTATTTATCCTTTCATTCCTTTTTCTTTTTTATATATATGAAAATGTTATAATACATCTTTATTTTAATCAGACAAGTTTTTGATTTGGATCGTCTTCAATGGACTGTACCAAATATCAAATTACCTGACATTCTTAAACCAATGATGTATGCCAATACAAACACTTTTCGTGGTCGGGATATGACTCACTTTTTACAAAAGAGTTATACAAATATGCAATTGGCAAAGTGTATGGAGGAGACCTTGCGTGTTGGCGTCGTTGATACCATATCTATTGGTTGTGTCATTTCCAATGTCGTAATGCTTGTATCTTTACTTTTTATAGCTGGTGTGGTTTTAGTTAGATTTTTTTTGGCTGTTTTGTTTGGGTGGATATTAAGTTGGCGATTAGGAAGTTTTCGTGAAGAAACTGCTGAAGAAATTGCAAAAAGAGAACGGGAAATTGAGTTATGGTCAAATGAAAATAATCACTTTTATCCTTCTACAAGGTAAAAATTGACTTTCCAAACTTTACCTTTTATCTTTTATTAACATTTATTAACATTTCGGGTATAATTTTTTTTAGCAACTCAAGAAATAATTCAACAACATCGTTTGGTATTTTCTCAAAATCTCGATTTTCTACACAAAATAATATAAATGGTAATGCTTTAGCATACAGAAGAACTGATAGTCGTCCAAGTAGTAGAAACACTTTTAGTGCCGGAAATGGTAAGGATCTTTAATCACGACTTTATTATCTTTATTATCTTTATTATCTTTTATTGTCTTTATTATTTTTATTATCTTTATTATTTTTACTATCTTTATTATTCTTTGATCATAAATTAATATTAATTCCCTATAACTATTTACAACTATTCATAACTATTCTGTAGGTATGATAAAAGAACTTAATAGTTCAAAAAATAGCAGACCATCATCAATTAACGAATATCCTCAAAGTCGAGCGGATTCAATGACATCTACATCATCCGCTGCTCAATCATCACCTTTCCAAACTAATAATGTTGCCATTCCTGATCAACGTTATAATTTTCCCCTAATGCACACTATTTTATTGGTTACATGCTATTCTGAAGGTAAACAGGGTATAAAAACAACTTTAGATTCATTGGCCAGGACAGAATACCCAAAATCGCATAAATTACTTCTTTGTATAGCTGATGGTACCATTTTTGGTGCTGGTAACGATCTTTCGACACCGGACATTTGTGTTTCACTGATGAGTGATCATATTATTCATCCTAATGAAGTTGAGCCTCATTCTTACGTTGCAATAGCTGATGGTAAAAAACGTCACAATAGGGCAAAAGTTTATGCTGGTTTTTATCATTATCGAGAATTGGATGGGAGACAAGATCGTGTTCCTATGATCACTATAGCTAAATGTGGTGGCCCTGGGGAGGAAAATGAGGCAAAAGCTGGAAATCGTGGTAAACGTGACTCCCAAATTATTTTAATGAGCTTCTTACAAAAGGTTATGTTTAATGAAAGAATGACTCGACTTGAATACGAACTTTTTACTGCAATTCGATCCGTTTGTTATATTACTCCTGACTTTTTTGAAGTAGTTCTTATGGTTAGTAATAAGATTTTATTATGATTCTTGGTGGTCTATGCAATATTAATAACAAAAATGTATCATAACGTATTGTAACTTAGATTGACGCTGATACCAAAGTTTTCCCTGATTCATTGGTTCGTATGGTTGCTTGTATGTCACATGATCCAAGTGTAATGGGTCTTTGTGGGGAGACAAAAATTTCAAACAAAAATGATACTTGGGTGACAAGAATTCAAGGTATATTTAATATTATATATATTTAATCTAAATTATATTTTATACATTATATTTTATTACATTTATATTTATATATTTATTTATGTATTTATTATTCTTAGTTTTCGAATATTACATTAATCACCATCTACAAAAAGCGTTCGAATCCATTTTTGGTGGTGTCACTTGTTTACCCGGTTGCTTTTGTATGTACAGGATTAAGGCGCCAAAGGGAGAGAATGGTTATTGGGTTCCTATTCTTGCAAATCCGGACATTGTTGAACAATATTCTGAAAATATTGTAGATACTTTACATAAGAAAAACTTACTTCTTCTTGGAGAGGATCGGTATTTAACAACCCTTATGCTTAAAAACTTTCCTAAACGAAAAACGTTATTTGTTCCCCAATCAGTTTGTAAAACTGTAGTACCTGATACATTCCGTGTACTTCGTTCTCAACGTCGTCGATGGATTAATTCCACAGTACATAACCTTTTGGAACTTGTTCTTATCCCTGATTTATGTGGAACTTTTTGCTTTTCCATGCAATTTGTTATATTTATGGAGTTAGTTGGCACTGTTGTACTTCCAGCTGCTATCTCTTTCACAATGTATTTAATAGTAATATCGTTCTTCCAAAATCCTCCACCTATAGTTCCTTTG